CAAGGCGAGTTGCACCACATACGTTGCCTCGGATAGAATGCGCCACGCAACCTTCCCCGCATAGCTTACACAACATAGTTTGCACCGCATATATCGCATCACGAAAAGCTGTCCGTTCGAAACCATATGTCGAATCTATCGCCCCCCACTAAGGACGTACAGGGTACATATGTTAGCCCCATCGCTCATTCCAAAAATGAAGTCATACTATTCCAGCCAGGGCGGGTGCCTCAAACTAGCTGGCCGCCTTGAACGCGAGCTTACGCACATTAGCGTGGCCGAAGCGACGCGCCAAGCAGCGCCAAACAGTCATCGCAATCGCCGCCGATTGGGTTTTGCAAACCGAAATGCGGGCGGGTGGGTGGGATGGTTGCGCGAACAATGGGATTTACAACTCCACGTATATTCAAATTAATTTCGCCATATAAAAACAGCTGTCTTAAAACGAGCTAGGTCTACCATCCCGTGTCCCCCCAAGGGATGTGCATTTTGCAAATGGTTCTGCCCTGTCGTCCGTTCTAAATATGAACTCGGACCATCCCAACCAAGCCTGCGCGGACTCGCCCCGTCATCCATGTGACAAAACTCCATGCGCGCACACTCGATGATCAAAAACCATCAAGACATATTGAACACACGCGCGCGCCGTCGCGCTCGCGCATGCCGAGATCCTTCAACATCCCAAATTCTGTAAGTAAGGATTTCAAAGTCTAGTGTCCCGAAGCGTTTGTCTAAAGGATTGCGTTGCAATGCTTGGCATCCCTAAAACTCTGCACGCACTGCTGCGAATTAGTTAGAAAACCACCCGTCATGGGCCCCTCGCGCGCGCATGTCGAAATCATTCGAACGCCTTTGCGCGAGTGTTGGGGGGCTTCCATCCCTGCAAATAATATCATGCGGGTCACTCGCGCGCGTCGGCCGCGCACGCATGTCGAAATCCTTCCTAAGCGTTCCTCGCGGACGCGTGGATACCATCATCGTCATCGGCGTGCTCAGCACCGGCGCCGTCACTGGCCTTGCCGTCGTCATCGTCATCGTCGTCGCACGCATCGCTACTATCATCATCGTGTCTGCTTTTGTCGACGTCACCCTGATACCGCGACCACCTAACCCACCGACTCGAACTGAAGGGCCCGCCTGAAAATGCCCAGCGGTCAGCGCTACCGCGGCCGCGTCGGTCGCGCCAAACTAGCCGGCAACTGTGCGCGCGAGCGTGCGCGGGCTAGCGCGGCCGCAGAGATGCACCAGCCAACACCAGACATTCATCGCAATCGCTCCCGCATGGGTTTTGCAAGCCACATTACGTGTGTGCGTGTGCGCGGGGTGATTTCGCGATCACTGGAGTTGGCAAGTCGATACAACATCACATATTTATCCCAGCCAGGCCAGTATCGGTGCCCCCTCGGTCCCCTCGCAAAAAAAATGCTTTCATTCGTTTTTCAAAAATCATGAACTGTCAAGAACCCCTGGCAAAATTATTGACGAAATGCACACGCGCGCGCCGTCGCGCGCGCATGCCGAAATCCTTCAAACAAATCGACGGTTTCGGACGGATTTCAAAATCGAGTGTCCAAAACACAAAAAAAAACAGTTTTTTCGCAACGCGGATGTTCAACAAAAGCGTGCGCGCGCGCTCTTGCAAATTCTTTAAAGAAGGCCACAAGTCTTCAACATTCTCAAAACATGCGACCAAACGGGCTTCCTGCGCGCGCGCACATCGAGATCGTTCGAACGCCCTTGCGCGCGTGCTGGGGTGACACGATCCGCGTCAAATAATACCATGCGTGCCACTCTCGCGCGTCTGCCGCGCGCGCATTTCGAATTCCGCCCGACCAAAATCATCACCGACGCGAAGAAGCCGTCATCGTCGTCGGCGTGATCAGCATCGGCGCCGTCACTGGCTGCCCCGTCGTCGCTGTCAGCATCGTCACCAGCATCGCTATTATCACCATCGTGTCTACCGTCGTCGACGTTGCCCTGATACCGCGCCCGCCCAAGCCGCCGACTCGCACTGAAGTGCCCGATGGGATGTGCCGAGCGGTCAGCGCCACCGCGTTCGCGTTGGTCGCGCCAAAACTAGCTGGCCGCTGCGCGCGCCAGCATGCGCGGGCCAGCGCGGCCGCGGATATGCAATAGCCAACACCGAGCACTCCTCGCAATCGCTCCCGCGTGTTTTTTGCAAACCACGTTGCGGGTGGGTGGGTGGGATGATTGCGCGAGCTGTGGAGTTGACAGCTTCAAGTTCGACAATTAGATTGCGCCACATATCTTGCACTACGTAGCTTACACCACACACACTGCATCACGTATAGTGCACCACGTGGATTGCAAGAAGTCACTGTGTGTGGCCAACGATGGCTCGCATTGAGCAGCTGCCGTTGAGAGGTGGCGAGGGTGGGGGGGACGAGGCAGGATGAGGTACAGGTGGCAAGAGGGCACGCGAAGTGCGCTCGCGCCACATGTGGCAACTCACCCTTCCCACCGCCGGCTGCGGATGAGCAGGAGGAGAGGAACGGTTAGGAGGAGAAGGAAGGAGGCTGAGCAGCAGGATCAGGAAACACAGGAGGAGCACAAGGGCCAGGAGAAGAGGGAAGGGGAGAAAGGTGGGAGAAGGCAACGACGAGGAAGAAATTGGCTACAGAAAGGGTGGCCCGCGCTGGGGCGAGAGCGCCGCTATGAACGACGCGAACAAACCGATCCTACAACGTAGCCAACGGTGCAACGGGAGCGCCGTCCGTTCCCCAAGCAGGGCTTGCACTTAAGGGTTAATTGTTTCCTCGTGTCACGACGGGATTGGATGTGTCCGTCGACGTTTCACCGCGTCACTGCCCGTGGCCGCCTCTTGGCCACCTCGGTCGGCTCTTTCGAGGGGATGCCCGCCGAAATTCCGCCGCGTCGCCGCCCGAGGACAGCTCGTAGCCGCCTCGTGGCCGTCCACTTGCGGGGTCCGCCCGAGGTTTGGCCGCCTCGTTGCCGCCCACACGGGGGGGTTGCCGATGTTTCGCCGCGTCGCCGCCTCTTGGCCGCCTCATGGTCGCGCACGCTTGGGGGGGATCGCCGATGGTTCGCCGCGGCGCCGACCGTGGCCGCCTCGTGGCCGCCCGCTTGGGGGTCCGCCGAGGCTTCGCGGCGTCGCTGCCCGTGGCCGCTTCGATGCCGCCCGCCTGGGAGGTCCACCGAGGGTTCGCCGCATCGCCGCCCGTGGCCGCCTCATGGCCCCCCCGTTGCCACCAAATTGGGGGTCCACCGAGGTTCCGCCGCGTCGCCACCCGTGGCCGCCTGGTGGCCGCCCACTTGGGGGTTCCGCCGAGGTTTCGCCGCGTCGCCGCCGTTAGCCGCCTCGTTGCCGCCCACCGTCCATGGGGGGTCCGCCGAGGTTTCGCCACGTTGTCGGGCAACTTCGTTGCCGCCCACCGCGCTTGGAGGGTCCGCCGAGGTTTCGCCACATCGACGCCAGCGGTCGCCTCTTTGCTGCCCACCGCGCAATGCTTGCACTTAGGGGTTCCCAGTTCTTGCATCTCATAGCTAGCACCACGTAGCTTCCGCCACACAGCTTGCACCACATAGCTTGCACATGCTTGCACATACACGATGCAACAACTTGCTGTTTGGGGCCTACGCTTGCACATGCTCGCAGAATCGAAACTAATATACTTGGAAAAGCACATGGTGTATTCAGGTGTGCGCGTGTGTGTGCGCGTGTGTGTGTGTGTGTGTGCGCGTGTGCGTGTGAGTGTGGTGTGTGTGTGTCCATGCGCATATGCGCCCGAAAGGCGGGAAGCCCCAGTGGACATTGTCATGGGAGAGAAGAGAGTAGTACTCGTGTTGGCTATTTGTGCGAGGGGGGGGGGGGGGGCGGGGAAGGGGACAGGGTGACGCCAGGACGGCGGCGGGGGGAAGCAGGGGGAGAGGGGAGAGGGCAGGGGGTAGTACGGGGGAATGGGGGGAGGAGGGGGAATGAGGAGAAGGGGGTCACAGGGAAAGGAATCGGGAAGGGGCAGGGGAGGAGGTCAGGGGAGGGATGAGATGAGATGAGACGACTCCCAGGAGGACAGTCCGAGGAGGGAGGGGCCAGCCCAGATCAAAAATGGGGGCGGGGTGCACCAACAGGGGGAGATTTTGAGAGGACGAGAGTGGTGGACACTTGCCTCTCGCCCTCGGCGACAGGTGCACCCGCTCCGAAATTGAAACCTGAAAGACGAAGGGATGGGCACGCCAATGCTCCCCCCCCCCCCACACACACACCTCACCTCTCGGAATCCTGGCGCGCGGCACGGAATGCAGGCGAGAGGCGAGGAGCAGGGAGCGCGGTCTGCTTGTGGGCTGCCACGAGGAGGGCCTCGTCTCCGCGGCTGCCCGCGGCTCGACAAGCCTGTCAGGAATCTGACCGTCCAGGAAGGGTCCAGGGGCCAACCAGGCGTCCAGTGGAGACGTCAAGAGCAGGGCAGAGCGATCGAGAAAGATGTATGACATATCGAGAGGCAGAGAGAGAGAGAGAGAAAAAAAGAGAGAGAGACTGCGAGAGAGAGAGAGAGAAACAAAAGAGAGAGAGAGAGAGAGAGGCAGAGAGAGGGTCAGAGAGAGAGAGAGAGAAGAGAACTGGACATACAATACATGCATTGATATATACATATACACGCCTATAGCTATACACAGCAGAAGCTGGAGAGAGACAGAAAGAGAGAGAGAGAGAGAGAGAGAGTCCAGGGGGAGACGGCACGGCTGCCGCACAGGCTGTCGGAATCAGTGTCCTCGGGCTCCCGCCCCCCTGTGAGACTCTTCTGTGGTCCCTTTACTCCTCAAGACCCCCCAGCGAATTGCGATCAGGGGAGGAACGCACAACGTATGGGTGGCTGGCTGCGGCCTGGAGCCTCAACGGCGACGACGACGATCCGGGAACATGGCTCTAAGCGTCCACTTCCCAGCGGGGCGCGCCGAACAACCTCTCTGGCATGTCTTAACCGTTTCGTCTCGCCTGTGCCAAATAACTTGCGGCAGGCCTCCGGTTGGCCGACGTCCTCACCGGGCTCATCGGCCCCCTCGTCCTCGGCCCCTTCGTTCTCGGCGGGCTCGGCGGGCTGCAGCTCCTCCTCCTGCTCCAGCGGCGGTGCGCCCCCCTTTCTCGACGCCCAATCTCCCTTCGACCCCCTTCGCACCATCTTTCACCGCCCCACCCGTCGTCACTCTTGCTGTTGCTCCGTCTCCCCTTCTCTGGCTCTCTCTCTCTCTCTCCCTCTCTCTCTCTCTCTCCCTCTTTCTCTCTTTCTGTCTCTTTCTCTCTTGATCACTGCCTCTCTATCTCTCTATATATATATATGCACAAACATACCTTCACACAGCGAGCACATGATCAAATCTGATTATCGTTAAATGTGTATGGGCCCGATTCCCGGTGGTTTCTTACAGCAAGCCAGAGCCACATTTCTACAGTTCACGCTGAAAAGGCGACCGTGCTCAAGAGTCTGGACCAACTTTCCGGCAAGCTGATTCAGAAACGCTGGCACCGTTTTGCCGGCGAGAGGCTTCCTGATCAGATACTCGACTGTTTATTTTGTTGTCTTCCCCACAGGCAAAGTGGCGTTCTTGTTTTCTCTGGACACCCCGCGCAGGAACAGGAGCACCCCCCGCTCCGGGGCTCCAAATCGGCAGAGCTCGAGGATGGCGCAGAGGTTAAACAATGCCGGGGGGAGGGGAAGGCAGAGGAACGGGAGGAAAGGGATGAAGTGTTAAAGCATTGCGAGTGCATGCCCCCATGATCCGAACGACCATTCATATAAACGGGCACTCAAGAACACCAATCAGGAAAACGCAGCACAACACATGGCGCAAGGTCGAAATATACCCCAGATCCCAGACATGCCGCAGAGGAGAGGCCAGAAGAGGAAGGGAGGGAGGCGAACGCGAAGAGAAGGAGGAGGAGGAGGAGGAGGAGGAGGAGGAGGGGACAACAGCAGCTGGGCGCACGCACTCACAAACTCTACTAATTAATTGTACCCAGAAGCGGGCGCTGGAACGCCTGCCAATCGAGACAGTGCACTGCAGCGGCTGGCCTGGACGGCTGCGGCGGCCCAGGGCCGGCCAACGGCGGCTGCAAGCACCATCGCTCACTGCCCGTGCAACCAATAGCATCGGAGCTACCACTTCTGGGCTAGAGAGAGAAGGAGGAGGAGGAGGAGGAGGAGGAGGAGGAGGACGAGGAGGAGGAGGAGGAGGAGGAGGAGGAGGAGGGAAGAGACGAGGGGGGAAAGGACGGCGGCTCGAATTCGACGGAATTGGCGACCTGGCATCGGGCCACGACGCGGAAGTCGATCGATTCGTTGCGGCCCTCCGCGCGCGCTGGTTCTGCTTTGGTGCGCGCCGGGGGTTTTCGAGGAGGACGCGCAGGCAGCGCTCCACACTCCGTAGTGCCCCACACTCCGCGACGACGAGGACTCCGACGGTCCGACGGGGACGGGGAGGCAAAACTGCCAGGCAATAGTTGGCACAGTTGGCCCCAGCCGCACCTAGGTGAAACCCGGATGCCGCCACACACGCACGCTCCTGCAATGAACTAGAAGCACGAATCGACAGCTGGGCGCAACGTGGTCCGAAATCCATCGGCCACGCGGCCCGGACAGAAAGGGGCACGATAGCTTGCACCGCGTCGTGTCGAGGTGAGTGGCGGCAGAGAGGAGGCGGAGGACGGAGGGAGGAGAGGCGAGGGAAGAACCAAGCAAAAGTTGCAGGGGAGGATTGGGGGTGCGCCTCACCTCACAAGCCCCAGGCCTGCCGCCAATCCGCAGCGGCGTCGAAAGCTCCCGTGGCCGCCGCGATGACTCGCACGGCCTCCCGGCAGGATTGGCGCAGAGCCTCCTCTGCCGCCGGGCCACGTAGGACCTGTTCGAGGCGGCAGAGGCAGAGCGCGCGGCAGGCGGCGCACAGCCGAACGTCACCGAGGACCATGCTTTGGAGCCACCACGACCCCCAAAATAGCCGCCGAATTCCAAAAGACTTGCGCGTTTTTTTTTTTTTTTTTTTCTTTTTGAGAGTATGCAACGCTGGGCGCGCAGGCCCGCCTGCAACGCCCCCCAGCGAGAATCCATTTTGAACCAAACATCGCCGCGGCCGTCGCAATCACCGCCGCCCAGACAACAAGAGAACAAGTGTTACATTCATCATCGCGCTGAGGGCACGTCAGCCTGCGCCGCCGCACATCGACTCTTTGCCACAGCCGAGTGCTGCGTGCTCACATCAGCATTCGTCGACAGCTGTCAAAAGCAAAACCGCCGAAATGGTCCTTGAAAGGGCCGCCAGGAGGGCCGCCGAAGGGGCCGCAGAGATCGTCGGCGAAATCGTCGCCGAAATTGCCGCCGAAATCGCCGCCGAAATCGCCGCCGAAATTGCCGCCGAAATTGCCGCCGAACTTGCCGCCGAAATTGCCGCCGAAATCGCCGCCGAAATCGCCGCCGAAATAATTGGGAACTCCGCCAAAATCGCCGCCGAAATCAGCCGCCAAAATTGCCGCCGAAATTCAGCCGCCGAAATTGTCATTGCCCTGTCCCACGCGAAATCACTATTTTTATCAAGCTCGATGACGCCGCGGACACAGGCATCGAGTCGCAGCCAAGGTCAATTTCGGCCTCTTGTCGGCGGCAGAGTCCGGAATTTCGGCGGAAATTTCGGCGGCGGGTTTGGCGGCAATTTCGGCTGAGTTTTCGGCGGCAACTTCGGTGGCAATTTCGGCGGCAATTTCGGCGGCCCTGTCGACGGCTCTTTCGGGTGCCCTTTCGGCGGCAATTTCGGCGGCCCTTTCGACTGCTCTTTCGGCGGCCCTTTCGGCGGCGTTGCTGTTGCCAACTGTCGACCATGGCTGCCGGGAGCTCCGGGCACTCGGAGGCCCGGCGGGCCCTGAGAGGGCCCTCGAAGGACCTCGCCAGAAAGCGTCTGCGAAGTAGCTCAATCCACGCGTGATTGGCACGCAACGTGCAGAGCGAATTCACCCTCGCAACGTGCAGGGCGAATTCCTCGCGTTATGCATCAGCACGCTCCACGATGCGCATGGAAACCACCGCGCGACAGGGCGCGCATGCGCACCGAAACCATCCAGAAAAGCTCAATTTCGTTTGGGATGAATTTCGGCGCGCGCCCCTTTTCGTCTCCAGAGAAAGTGCCACTACGACCGAACGGCCACTCGCACCACGCGGCCCGTCGGCGCGCTGGCCCGCGCGAAGAAGGCCGCCGACCGCGCCTCTGGCGTCTCCGGGCGAGGCAGGCTCAGTAGCCGGCTGGCCACAGAATGCAGCCGCGCAGTGCGCAGAATGCTCCAGCGAGTGCTGCGCATCGAGCGAGCAGCTGACCATGCCTGCCCTGGGTCCGGCGGGGCGTCATCCAGCCATTCCACCGGGATCGCCAGACCGCCGCCCAGACCTTAGGCGGTACCTTGCTCCGCAGGGCCGACAGGATGGCGACGCATCCTGTAACCTGCGATCGCGGAAACAAGCCGGCTTGCATCCTGTCGAGCTCGCGGCGAATCTGGGGCCCCTGGTCCACGGCCCGGGCGCGAGGCAGCATTGCGCGAGCCACTCGCTGGAAGCTGCGTTTTACCGGGCGGGCCTGCGAAAGTGTGAGTGTAGGGAGCCAGATGCGAAACCTACCCCTGCCCCCCCCCACGACTTCTAAGGGGGAGGGTGGGGTTCACTTCGTTCGGGAGTTCCGGAACGAAGTGTGAACCCCACCCTCCCCCTCAGAAATCGTGGGGGGTAGGGGTAGGGTTCGCATCTGGCCCCCTATGAGTGTGCGCTCGACGCGCCCCCCTGCGTCTGAACAGAGAATGCGGCGTTCGACTCTCGCTGCCGCGATGCCGCGGACGCGGCGCGTCTCTTTCGCGGCGTCCAGCTGTAGAACAAAAGACCTCTCGAACCAATCAGCCCAATGAGCGCGCGCGCGGATGTTGTCGGAGTCGGCCCGCCGCAGAGCCGCTGCTCTGCTCGCGACCCTCAAGCCCCCGGAGGCGGCCGCCTCGAGATGGCAGACGTGGAGCTTGGCGGCCGCCAGGCGTGCTCTCGTGCCCAGGAAACCCCATCGGGGACCCCAAGATGTCGAGGTTGCGCACGTCCTCCGTCGACGCCCACTGGGAGCATCCTGGAACCTGGCGTCCGAAGGCTTCTTCTTCTTCTTCTTCCATTATGTCCCAGTTGGGCGGCAGGCTGTCCAGTTGCACCAGAATGCGAACGTCTTAAGCAACGTATACGGCATGCGTCACCGCCGCTGCAAGTTGCCCGCCGCCTGCAGAAACCCAACGGATCGAACGGTCAAGGATGTTTTGACATGCCTTGTCGAGAGCCTTGTGCACCGAGCATGGATCCGACGAGGTACTTAGCCTGATCAGACACTTGCATGCATCCCCAGACTGGCAACTGCATCAGCACCTCCCAATGGACGCGGTCGCGGTCGCCCCGGGAGAGCGGGACCAAAACAGTTTTAGTCAGGTTCAGGTGCAGCCCTGACACCTGGTCGAGAGATCGGAAAAGCTCGCGCAACACTGGCGGCCGCCACGTCGATGTCCCCGGCTACCGTGGCCACGTCGTCTGGAAATGGCCTCGTGGTCAGCGACGGTCGTTCCCTCTGAATTCGACCCAGCAGCGAGCCCACTGCGACTGCGAACAGGATGTGCGAAAGCGGGCAACCCCGGCGTATTCTAGCGTAAGACGCGAAGGCTTCATCGTCTATGCCCGCGACAACAATTGAACATCGATTGCGCGTACAGAGATGCTCAGCGTAACTGATCAACCACGGCGGCAAGGCAGCATCCAGTAGAGCGCGGAGAAGGAAAATGTGGGCCATGCTCGGGAAGGCCGCTTGGAAGTCGAAGAACCGGGCGGCCCACCGCTCTCGCTGCATAGCGATGTGCTGCATCGCCTCGTCGATATCGACGATGCTCGTCAGCATGAACCGTCCTGGCACAAATCCTCGTTGGTCAAGACTGATGCCCTGTGCGAGCGGCTCCTGCACGCAGATGCGCACTGCGTTAGTGAACAAGCGGTTGTCGCAGTTCGCCGCGTTCAAGGGACGCGTTTCAGCAACCCAATGGCTAAGGTACCCGTGGAGCTCAGCG